CATCAGCTCTCTTGCCATGTGTCCAGCTGCACGGCCCTCAAACTGCAACATCAGCTACCCCCAGGTCTCCAGCTGCATGGCGCTCAAACTGGAACGTCAGCTGCCTGCCGGGTCTCCAGCTGCACGGACCTCAAACTGGAACAGCTCAAACTGGAACAGTTTGAACTTGGTGGGGCAGCTCCTGTTCCAGTTTGAGGTCCGTGCAGCTGGAGCCCAGGGCTGAGCCGACGTTCCAGTTTGAGGGCTGTGTAGCTGGAGACCCAGCAGGGAGCTGATGTTCCAGTTTGAGGGCCGTGCATCTGGAGACTCATCAGGAAGCTGATATTCCAGTTGGAGGGCCGGGGAGCTGGACACACAGGCGTAAGCTAATGCTCCAGTTTGAGGGCAGTGCTGCTGTAGACCCAGTGGGGAGCTGACGTTCCAGTTTGAGCGCCATGCAGCTGGAGACCTGGGGGTAGCTGATGTTGCAGTTTGAGGGCCGTGCAGCTGGACACATGGCAAGAGAGCTGATGTTCTAGTTTGAGAACCGTGCAGCTGGAGACCAGGAGGGGAGCTGATGTTCCAGTTTAAGGGCCGTGCAGCCAGAGACCGGGTGGGGAGCCGATGTTCCAGTTTGAGGTTCGTGCAGCTGGAGACCCTACAGGGAGCTGATGTTCCAGTTTGAGGGCCGTGCAGCTGGAGAGCCGGTGGGGAGCTGATGTTCCAGTTTCACAGCCATGCTGCTGGAGAACCGTGGGGGAGTTGATGTTGCAGTTTGAGGGCCGTGCAACTGGAGATTCAGGGTGGTGCCGATGTTCCAGTTTGAGGGCGATGCAGCTGGAGAGCTGGTGGGAGCTGATGTTCCAGTTTGAGGGCCCAGAAGCTGATGTTCCAGTTTCAGGGCCATGCAGCTGGAGACACGGCGGGGAGCTCATGTTCCAGTTTGAGGGTCTTGCAGCTGGAGAACTAGGGAGGAGCTGATGTTGTTTTCATTTGAGAGCCGTGGAGCTGGACAGCTGGAGAGGAACTGGTGTTCTAGTTTGACGGTTGTAGAGCTGGGGATGCAGGGAGGAGCTGTTGTCTTTATAGTTTGAGGGCCGTGGAGCTGAAGACCCTGGGAGGAGCTGTTCTAGTTTGAGGGTCGTGCAGCTGGACACCCTAGGAGGAGCTGATGTTGTTGCAGTTTGAGTATTGTGCAGCTGGAGATCTAGTGGGGAA